TCGAAGATTTCTGAGCCAAGGCTTCATCCGTGATCATCGAAGAATTCTCATTCGAAGGAGGAAGAAATGAAGATTATTCTTTCGACATTCAATCTTTCAACCCCAGAAGCAATGTGAAGCTGAAATTGAAGAATATGTGACGGATTGCATTGAAGCCTCATCAATCACTCTGCTGCTATCTTGAACCTGCTGAAGTGATCCAGAAGATTTGTTCTCTCTGATGTTCTCTCTGAAGATTCTCAAACTAAAAGCATTATCTTTCAAGAATCAGTACAAAAAGCCTCCTCACCCAATGTGCGTTCAATGTCAAATTCTGAAGAAAAGCCCAACTGCTCAAGATGAAGTCATTCATTGAAGATTCATCAAGTTCATCTTGAAGTTGTGAAGAATTTGAAGATTAAAGTTGAAGCCAAAGCTCCCAATGAAGATTAACAAGAAAAGTCAGCTACTTTTTAGGGGGAGCTTGTTGGGTTATTTAAGAAAAGAAAAGAAAGCTATAAACCAAGGGGGAGATTGTTGGGTCAAAAATATGGTTTATACTTTGCTTTTCTAAGCATTTATTGTTTTTATTATTTGGGCCAAAAATAGTATATGATTAATTGTAGCTTGGACCGAGCATTGGATTATTTGTATTTTGGGCTTGGCCTTAGGTCCATATATATATAGGGTGAGGAGTGCATGTGAGGGATAAACACTAGAGGAGCTTAAGTGTGTGCATTTGAAGGTGTTCTAGAGAGAGAGAAAAGAGAGTGTGTGTGAGTGTGTGTGAATCTCATGTAAAGGATCATCATTATATTCATTAATACATTGAGATTCATATTATTCTTCTTCTCCCTCTCTTCTATTTGATCTGACATCAACCGTTTGATTGGAATTCCGCACCATCAAACGGATCTGATTGATACACAACCAGATTAGGGACTAACACCGCCCGGTATACATAGCAGCACATAACACATGCAAGGATCACGCAGACTCCTAGCATCCTAACATAACAATAAGGTCCGTCATTGGTGCCTTAGACCTGTCAAACCCAGTGAGAAAACTCACCTCGACTGTTGAATCTCACAGAAAATCCATGGCTGCTGGTCCGACAAATCCCCGAGCTAACAATATAAAATAATACCCAATTATCATTTGGCTCCCAAACCATATCCAACAATCTATACTTGGGGTAAAAAGACTATTTTACCCCTCACCTATTTTGGTCCAAGACTAAGGCTCAAACTCACAATCTAAAAGGCCCAAAACCAATTAATCATCCAAGGCCCTTTTATGGCCCAATTTTCCAAATTGGGCCCAAACCCTTACATGGGCCTTACCCTAAAAATCAACAATTTTTCCTAGTCCAAAACACTTGCACTCAATATGGTCATTACGAGTTCGTGGTGATGCCTTTTGGGCTCATCAATGCTCTAGTCGCGTTCATGGATCTCATGAACCGCGTGTGCAGACTGATGTTGGATCGGTCTGTGATAGTATTCATTGATGATATCTTGGTTTATTCCAAGACTCAGGAGCAGCATGAGGAGCACTTGAGGGAGGTTATGGAGACCTTGACGAGGGAGAGACTTTTTTCAAAGGTCTCTAAGTGCGAGTTCTGGTTGCGTGAGGTGCAGTTTTTGGGGCACCTTGTCAACCAGAAGGGTATTCTGGTCGATCCGGCCAAGGTCGAGGCCATGATGCAGTGGGAGGTTCCGAGGTCTCCATCAGAGATTCGGAGCTTTCTTGGTTTGGCTGGTTATTATCGAAGCTTTCTTGAATATTTGATATTATTTGCTTTAAATCAATCAAATGACTCGATTGTTTGAATCTTTAATATACACAAAGAAGATTGTATAACCAAACATATTTCATCATTGAGTTCTTTCTTTTAGACATATGACAACTATAACATTCTTCTCTATTTTTATGTATTCTACATAACAAACTTTGAAAGAGAAAACAAGCAAGTATGGGTAACCAAACATGAGAAATAATATTCTTATATAAGTAAAATATTTTAATTAATTAGAATAAGTTGAAGAGTTTGAGGTTTCAAATTAATATGGTTCATTTGAATGATCACCTTTATAAGAGATATATAGATTATAAAAAAAGATTAAAAAGAATTATTGAAATCGTCCCTGTGGTTTGGTAAAAATTTCATGTTTTGTCCCTAACCTTTTTTTTGCACTCGGACCGTCCTCATGGTTTGATTTTGTTGCATGTTTCGTCCCTCCCCAACATGAAAAGACTTTATTGCCCTTTGTATTTTCTTTTTCAGCTTTTTTATCATTTGTTTATTATTTATTAATTAAAGAAAATTAATTACATGATTTATAGACATATGGGACCCACTCATACTCTCACTTGTTACACAACCACCACTGGCCACCAACAACCACCACCGGCTATCGAAAACCACCACCGGCCACCGACAACCACCACCGGCCGATTCCAACATCACCACCATCCATATATTTCAGCTCAACTACAACCCGACTCTTCCCCTCCGACAAACACCCACCAGCCCATTCGTCTTCTCCGGCAAGACCACGACCTTGCCCTTCTTCAACTTATCAGATTCAATATTATACAAAAATAAAAACCCAGATCGATTATAAAAATACAAATCTAATACCAAATGAACAACAAAATCACCGAGACCTGCAATTTTGGGGCTAGTCCTCTTGAAAACAAATCTGAAACCAAACTCCACCTAACGTTCGCGTTGGGATTCAGACCAGGATGCAAGTGTTTTTGATTTATGTAGTTTCTTTCCTATCTTATCATCTTTCCCCAATGAAATGAACAAAAAACTGAAAATCATTATTGTTCACCAACATTTTCTCTCCAAACCAACGCCACCGACATTGTGCACCTCACTTCCACATCGAAATCCAGGCACGTTATTTGAAATTTTGTTTTAAAAAGAAATGAATCAGAGAGAAAATTTATCACTGTTGAAGGAAGCTCCATTAGATAAAATCGATTTCAGGTCAGTCTCCTTCGGGCAGATCCACCTCTGGAGAAGATGAAGCTGATGAAGGGTAGAGAGAAGCATCAACGTAGATAGAAATCGATGGAGTAGAAGGAAATCGAAGGGAGTCATACGAAAGTACAGAAAAATCTACGGGAAACCCTTTACATAACCGACGATGGTGCTGGTGGTGATTTCCGGCGAGAGAGATGGAGCAGAGAGAAGTGGCAGGAAGAGAGAAGCGACATAGGACGAGTAGATGACGATCCATGGGTTTTTAGTGGGGTTCTGGTGGTGTTTCCGATGGCTCCATCGGTGGCTCCGGCGGTGGTGAGTTGAGCCCCGGTTTCTTCAACTAAGATGAGAATGAGAGATAATGTGAGAGATGATAGGGTTAGATGGGTGGGTTTGGGTTTGAAGGTGGGACCCATGTATATATATATATTTATAATTAGTAGATAATAATAAAAACTAAAAAGAAAATACAAAGGGTAATATAGTCTTTTTATCTCTACAAGGGACTAAAAACGAAACAAAATAATATGTTAGGGACGGTCCGAGTGCAAAATAAAAGTTAGGGACCAAACTCGTAATTTTTGACAAACCACAGGGACGATTTTAGTAATTTGTTCAAAAGATTATAAAGATAAAGATAAAGTCGAACCATGGACATCATGATCACATATAGAGAAAAGGCCCTTGGAGATCACCTCACTATTGGAAGCGAAAGAATAGCATGATCGATAAAACAATAAAAGACAGTCTTGAAAATGGGCATAGTTATTTTGGCAAGGTTATGATTCATTTGGAATGCAAGGATAAAAATGGTATTTGAATGTAACCGATATACAAAATTGGTGTATTTTAAAGATCGGTTGAAATGCTACCATTAAAAGTAGTCTAATACATTTTATGGGCAAAGTATAAGACGAAGTTTAGATACATTAATGAGGATGTTTGGATTATCTCTCAATTATTTTAGCTTGTAATTCTAAAAGACTATTTTATTTGGGGCGTGTTCGGTAAAATTAGCTGATAACGAGTAGCTTGTAGCTTGTAGCGTTTTGTTAAACGCTACATGAAGTAGCATTTGGATTTGGAACGTTTTGTTTAAACTAAACGCTAGAAGCTTGTAGGGTCAAACAAGACTTAATGTTCAAAACGGAGCGTTTCGTCAAACGCTAAAAGTTAGAAGCTCTCAAACGCTCCGTACCAAACACGTCATTGCCCTCATGAATGGCTTTTGTTACAAGTTGGGGCTAGCCCACTTGGCTAACAAGGAGGTTCCTAAGCTAACACAACTAACCAGGAGGTCGTAGGTTCAATTCCAGACACAAGAGATATTTAAATTATTTGCCGTTTCAAAAGCAAAAAAAAAAAAAAAAAAAAAAAAGTTTTTTGTTTTTGTTTTTTTTTTTGGTTATTCTCGCTTAAAAAGTTACTATGATATAGAGAATATAACTTTAAAACACAACATGGCAACACAGACAACACATAAGTATTATTAAATAAGACCTTAGTCTTTAATGTATCTATATAAACATTCTTTTGTATGTTTTAAATACTTAACGAAGACCTCGTATGGTGTTATTGTACAGACACGTGAAACAGATCATGCCTCAATCACGTGACCCGTCATCCCCACCGTTTACTTTGGGCCATCTAACCGTAACTGCCACGTGTGTCCAGAAACACAATCACATCACAGATGATCCAACGGTGGAGATTATCCCTCCCACCCTCTGAAACTAGGGTTTTCTCTCTCCTATATATATATATATATATATATATATATATATATATATCTCTCTGAAGTTTCTCCATGGTCGGTGCAGTGCAGTTCCGTCTGCCCTCCCGAAAAAACAAAATATTTCCTCCTCACAGAAATTTCAATCTCCGTCGACGCTGATCTCCGACCTCGGATCTCCGACGAATTATCCTTTTTTTTGAAAAATCCGTATAATTTTGCGTTTACGGTGTTGTTGAGCTTTTAGTTTTCGATTAATTTAGTGCGTTAAAAGAAAAAAACAGAGAAAAAATGGCGCAGATTCAGGTACAGCCTCCTCCAGTGTCTGGATCAAATGTTGCGACAGGGGCGACGATCAATGCAGGTGTTGTTGCCGCTACGGCTATCGCTGGCGGAGCGGTGGCGGGTGCTAACCAGTCTTTTGTGACGACTTCGCTTTACGTTGGGGATCTAGAGTTTTGGCGTGACTGATTCGCAGTTGTACGATATGTTTAATCAGGTTGGACAAGTTGTTTCGGTTAGGATTTGTAGGGATTTGGGCACTCGGCGATCCCTTGGTTATGGTTACGTCAACTTTAGCAATCCTAATGATGGTTAGTATATACCTGCATTTGTTAATTTGATGTTCATCAGATTATTTTCTCTAATTGTAAACATTGAATACCAGATGTTTGTTGTCGTAGACTCGCCAAACACAACGTAAACGTTTCTTTCGCACCTCCTAATTCTTGTCCATAATTTGCTTACTCGTTAGGAACTGTGTAATATCGCATTCTTATTATCAATTACATCTTTGGTATATTGGGGATTTCCATGTCTGTATCTCTGGTTTTCAATCCGTGTAATTTTAAACCCATTATAGAATAATTTAAGGCTCAATTGTCTTCCATTCTAATTGTGTGATCATACACCCCCGCTGTCCGGCATACTGCATAATTGTAGAATTTTTTGGAGCTTTTCACGTTTTCACATCTTAAGATGTACTTAAGTGAGAGTATATAACATCAGGATTTGACCTCTTATGTATAAGAGTGGATTAGATTTTCAACCATGTATTTGTCACCTGTAAAACAACCATTGTATGATTTAAAATTTTTAACATTTGGTAAACAAATGCAAACTTGGAGGGCTGATTTTCCACAAAGTGACAATTACAATGGTTGAAAATCTACTTCCTTCTGTTCTTGGAATCAAGGGATTCATTAGTTTTGCATATGGACTATACCTTGAGCCAAATATGAAAGCAAATGACAACAAAGTGATTATGTTTGATGCACTATCAATGTATGATTTAGTTCATTTGATTGTATATTAAGAAATTTACATTTTACACTTTATGTTTACTCGATTGCAGCTGCAAGGGCTATTGGTGTGCTGAACTTTACTCCAGTAAATGGAAAGTCAATTCGGATCATGTATTCTCACAGGGATCCAAGCATTCGGAAAAGTGGAACTGCAAATATCTTTATCAAGGTAAATTTCTATATTTCCATTAGTAATTTTACATATTGTTGGTTTGACTTTTTGTACTTTTGACTTTTTGGGATCCAGTCCTAATGGTTTATTAACTTGTTTTAAGTTTTCTTTTGAACGATAAAGTAAACAATCATGCATCTTCTCCATCATTTCTGTTCCAACTTCTAAGTTCTAACAATCGCCATAGATTTCAACTTTTTACAGAAACTATATAATGAACTTATAAGCATTTTATTCTTTCTTGTGTGTGTTAAGCCATACATTATGGATAGAATCATGGGGTATAGCAGTAAAATACCAAAATGCTGAATGTTTTACTCATCCCTTCTTCTGTTTCTCTATTATTCCATTTTTGGGCTCTTTCCCATTTCTCAATTTTACAATTTGTTTCCATTAATTGATGTATCCTTTCCTTTTTATACAGAATTTGGACAAGACAATTGACAACAAAGCTTTGCATGACACATTTTCAACTTTTGGCAACATTCTTTCCTGCAAGATAGCTACGGACTCCATAGGCCAATCAAAAGGCTATGGATTTGTGCAATTTGACACTGAAGATGCTGCTCAAAGTGCAATTGATAAGTTAAATGGGATGCTGATGAATGACAAACAAGTCTATGTTGGTCATTTTCTTCGAAAGCAAGAACGTGACTCTTCTTCAACCAGAACAAAGTTCAACAATGTGTATGTAAAAAACCTCCCTGAGTCCACAACTGATGAGGATTTAAAAAAGACTTTTGGTGAATATGGTATGATCACAAGTGCTGTGGTTATGAGAGATAGTGATAGGAAATCAAAGTGTTTTGGGTTTGTCAACTTTGAGAATGCTGATGATGCTGCTAATGCTGTTGAGGGGTTAAATGGGAAGAAGTTTGATGACAAAGAGTGGTATGTTGGGAAAGCTCAAAAGAAATCAGAAAGAGAGATGGAGTTGAAGAGTCGATTTGAGCAAACTGTTAAGGAAGCTGCTGATAAGTATCAAGGTCTTAATTTGTATGTCAAGAACTTGGATGACACCATTGATGATGATAAGCTTAGGAAGCTGTTTTCTGAATATGGTACAATCACATCATGCAAGGTTTGTTTTCTCCTTTCATTTGTTTCTTTATTATATTCTTTCTATTACAAGATTCCACTTTTGATTTTTTATTTAACACATTGTACTTTGAAAATTTTGCTCGATTATACTTTTGTATTTTCTAATTTTTCTTTTTAGGACATTACATTGAAAAATCTCATTATGGTTGTGAAAATTGTTTTGTATTTGCATGACATTGCTATAATTGGGTATATTTATAGAGTTAATTTAAAAAAAAACACTTATATTTTGTGTTTTTTACGGATTAAACCTCAAATTTATTTTTTGCTTGAAAAAGACCTTGTATTTTTTCATTTATTTCAAAAAAGCCCTCAACTTTGTATTTTTTTTTTCGAAAAAACCCTCAACCTTCTAAATGCTTCCAAATAAACCCTTAATCTTTTTAGTTTTTCTCGAAAAAAACCCTGACATTTTACAATTTTTTTTGGAATAAATGACTAAAGTGTGATATCGGAAAAAATGAAAAAAATACAAGGTCTTTTTCAGGCAAAAAAAATTTGAGGTTTAATCCGGAGAAAACACAAAATATAAGGTCTTTTTTTTAGATTAATCCTATTTTATAAGGTGCAATTTGTAATAAGAAAAAATGAAAGTAGGATGTTATAATGAACAAATAAATAAATGTACATTGCGCTTGAACAAGGTGAGATAGGGAGTAGCACACAATCATTTGTATGTGCAAAAGACGTGAATGCCCTCCTTATCATAATCATAAAAAATAGACGTAGAAAGCTTGTACAATTTTTTACATAGTAAAACACTGTTTTGTGTAATAAACAGATTTAAATTAGTGGAAAACTAATTTTAATAACGATGTTCATTGGCTTAATAGGTTATGCTGGATCCTAATGGAAATAGCAGAGGCTCTGGATTCGTGGCCTTTTCAACTCCAGAAGAGGCTTCTCAAGCTGTAAGTATCATGTTTAGCTACACTATATAGTTTACTTTTAAATAATTAAAAAAAAAAGCTATTTTTGATTAAAAAAATTTGTAGCTTGGGGAGATGAATGGGAAGATGATTGTCAACAAACCACTTTATGTTGCACTTGCTCAGCGGAAAGAAGAGAGGAGGGCTAAGTTACAGGTAATATAATTAATATCTCTACTGTTTGTTTTGTCTGATGAAATGGAATGAACTATTCATGAAGTAATATAATACTAGTATTATTCTAATGCTTATTTTTTAAAAGGCACAATTTTCACAAATGAGGCCTGTTGCAATGGCAAACTCAATGGGCCCACGTATGCCCATGTATCCTCCCGGTGGTCCCGCTATTGGGCAGCAGCTTTTCTACGGGCAGGCCCCTCCTGCTATGCTTCCTCACCAGGTAAAATTATAAATCTTAAATACTTTTTTTTTTTTTGATTAAATGATATACAGTAAAGTAAGATTCTGTTATTTTTAGGCGGGTTTTGGTTACCAACAACAGTTGGTCCCTGGAATGAGGCCAGGTGGGGCCCCAATGTCAAACTTCTTTCTGCCCGTTGCTGCCCAACAAGGTCAACAAGGTCAACGCCTTGGTGGCAGGCGTGGTGCTGGTGCTGACTCTGTTCAACAAAATCACCAGCCTCTTCCCATGATGCAGCAGCAGGTATCTCCATTTATATTTCTTTATCATTATTGTAGCATTCTTTTTTCATTTTTTCAATTTGTTTATTATAGCAAATCACTCATTTTTTTTTAATTAAAAAACAGAGTAATACCCTTCAGTAGGAAAAATTGCATGCAAATTTGTTTTTGAAGACAAGTAGGTTGCTAGTTTGTAAAAACGAAAAAAGTAAAAAAAGATGTAAAATAAGTTTTCAAATAAAAAAACTAATTTTAAAAGAACATAAAATACAAAATTATAAACTTCAAAAAAGTGACCGATGGAGATTTGACCCTGGACACTTCTAAAAAACCAATTTGGAAAAACAAAGTTGTAAAAGAGAGGAAAAAGAAGTTGTAAATAGGTGTTTCGGAAAAAAGTTATAAATATGGTTTGGATCAAACATAAGGGCCATATTTGTAACTCTTGGAACCATTTCTGTACTTTTGTAAATACAGAGACCATTTCTGTAAGTTTACAATTTGACAGGGACCTTTCTTTAATCTATATGGAACATATGAACCATCTTTGTAATTTTTCTATTAAAGTAGGGATTATTTATGTAAATGTTTAAAAACACTCTTCATATTTTACATAGAGACATGTGGGAAGCACATACTTTACCGTGACCATTATAGACTAAAGGTTAATTTATAGGGATCATTTATGTAAATAAAACACTGTTCATTGATGTGACAATATGAGCAGTGTTTTTGACATTGTACTTTCATATATAGTATAATTGCTCCTATGAAAAATCTATCCTTTTCAAAGTACAATGCTGTAAAGTATATTTCTATTTCTTGCATCTGGCCCTTTGATTAAAATCTGTATTAACAGTTAAACGTCAGCTTTAAGTTAAACGAAAGTATGTTGGTGTTTGTTTTGGTCAGATGTTTCCAAGAGGACGCATGTATCGTTACCCGGGTCGCAATGCACCGGATTCAAATCTCCCAGTGCTTCCTGTCCCATACGATCTCAGTGGTGGCATGTTTCCTCGGGATGCAGCTGCAGCAATGGGCCAGCCAATACCAATTACAGCTTTGGCTTCTTCCCTTGCTAATGCCCCTCCTGAACAACAAAGAACGGTATGTATGTTATTTTACATTTTCTTAATTATTCGGACTGAAGTTGCAATTTTGTGTAAAGCATAGGGACCAAATCTGTAATCTACTCTAATAATTAAATCAGGGTGTTAACATGTGATGTGTTTTAAATGAATGGACAGATGCTGGGTGAGAGTTTGTACCCACTGGTGGATCAGTTGGAACCTGAGAATGCAGCTAAAGTGACAGGAATGCTTTTGGAGATGGACCAAACCGAAGTGTTGCATTTGCTGGAGTCGCCAGATGCTTTGAAAGCAAAGGTGTCTGAGGCCATGGATGTGTTGAGGAATGTCAACAACACCACCAACACCAACACCAACACCAACACCCCAGCAGCTCAGCTTGCTTCCCTGTCTCTTAAGGACAACCTTGTTGCATGAGAGAGTAACTTCTTTTTATTTTATTTTGCTACTATTTAATGAGCCAGCCAGAGGTCTAGGTTGTTGCTTTTTTTTTCTTAACTTCTAATTTGGAGTTTTTTTTTTTTTTTTTATAGAATCTTTTCTATCCAACTTTGAAAACATCATTGAGACGCCTCTGTTTGCTCTTGATGTGGGGTTTTGTTTTATTGGAATTTAACTTAATTTGTTGTTGCCTTTTTTTTTTTTTTTTTTTTTTTCTGTTTTTGTGGATTGAAATCGGTCCTTAAGTGAAACTGGTTTTGGTCCTAAACTGGTTAAAACACTCAAAACAGTTCTAAAATCAACATTATATAAAGCTATATAAGCTTAGGTACTAAACCCTTAATCGGTGTTTAATCTGTGTTGTCTTGTTTTTGGTTAATCCACATGTAACGTATTTCTATTTAAGCATTGGATGGGTTCTAGCAGTAGTTGATTTGGATCTGACTGGCCTTTAAAGCCTACAAGAGTGAATCGAACAAAGCGGCTCTCTTGTCACACCTTCAACACCAACAATGTGTGCTAGTATATTTATCTCAAATGATGTGATCTGATTTTGTTATGGTCAATTATCTTGGTTTATTGATTTGTTGGTTTTTGAATGATTTTATATGATTGCATATAAATGATATAAAACGATGTAGTATTAAGGTTGTTATACATATAAATGGTCTACAACATAATTAATTTACATCAATAAATTGTGAGGCAAAACAATGGTAACATAGGGATGAAAAAGGGTTATATGATAAACTCATCTTTAGTTCCACAAGTAGCTTAAGCTGTGAAAGCTTAAAGTGAATATTTAAAGAGACGTTGATTAAAATAACCACTGAAATATAATTGATCAAAATAACCCATTATTTGGTAAATTGGCAAAATAACCGATACGTCTAGAACAGGTCTTTTTGGACTCGAGTCTGACTTGTCTTGTTGAGAAACGTGTTTCAAACTCAGTGGACCTACTTAATGCATTTCTGGAAAGCACATTGAGACAGATGACATCTCTGACTAATTGACAAAGTAAAACATGGTACTCGATCCTAATGATATTGAGGTTTTACGGGAGTAACACTTAAAAAACATGGTCGAAAATGTTTTCATTTATGTCCACAATGTGAAGTACATGTCCGCGAAAGCTACTTATTTTTCATTAGTGATCGTTTTAATAACTTAGAAAACTACTATAAGGTCTTTTTTTATTGCCTTTAGCTTGTCTTTAGACTACTCTGTAATGAACTGTTGTATTCTGGAATGGAAGAACAGTGCGGAATGTGAATAACATTCCAGTCCGGATATTTTGACAAGTTACGGTTGGGGATGCGGTGAGAGTGTGTTTGTTCTACTTGTTGGAAAAAGGGTTTAATGGTTGGTCACTTCGTTAACGCGTGAAGGATGAGATCTTAGGCCTCGTATGCAACTTTGAGGACTTCAAAAGGTACCATGTCCTTTAACGGTTACAATTACATTTTAAATTTCATTTATAATTGTTTTGATGTAACTAATTATTTTATTTTGGAGAAGCATGTACCAATGTGACATTATAAGTTGGGAACAGTTGTGTAGTCAGCTAAATACAATATTTACGGAATTTTACGAACTTAGGGGGTGTTTGGCAAAAAAATTTATTGCTTATTAGGTTATAACTTATTAGCTTATAAGCTAATAAGTAAGTGTGGGGTAACTTATGAAAAAATAAGTAAGTGTGGGGTAACTTATGAAAAAATGGCTTATTAGAGGTTTCCACCGGAATAAGTTATTTTTCATCCAAACACTTTTTTTAACTTATAGTGGTGTGTAACCACTAATAAGCTAATAAGTTGTTTTAATAAGCTTAGCCAAACACCCCCTTATTCCTCCTGTTAATGTAAAGAAAAATAAACCTCATAAATTGACGTATAAGCGAGTTTATAAATGCTGTAAGTGTAATATAAATTATTTGAAATTTAATATTTTTATGTTTTCTATTTGCTAATATCGTGATACATTAATTTTGACAGATCTAGATTTTGGAGACTTTTTAAATTAACCATGTAATGGGTACCCGAAAACAAAATGTGATCCCTCCGACCATTGCATGATCGAAGCTTAAACGGCTACAGATGACTGAATGCCATGTGGTCGTTGATGTTCATCGGGTATGATTATCTATTTAAAATTGTCAATTTTAATATATATATATATATATATATATATATATATATATATATATATATATATATATATATATATATATGTGTGTGTGTGTGTGTGTGTGTGTGTGTGTGTCAACTGGTTTGAAATTGTATTAGGAGGATAATACGTCTATTTCGAGGTTAGAGCCGACACCAGATAACCGATGTGCTGTGTGGTGGTCAGTGGCGGAGTCAGAATCAAAATAAAGAGTTATCCTAATTTTTTTTAAGGTAACCCATTTTTTTACGGGGTATTTGGGTTACCCGGGTTCAGTTTTAAACTCAAACCTTAATCAAATCGTTAGCTAACTTCAAATCTTGTTATTTAAATAGGGCCGTGAAAAAATGTATATATAAACTAATTCCTACAAGTTTAAATTGAATTTTGAAAACCAGATGTCAATGATAAACTTGAACCCGCACATTTTAATGAATTAAAATTTGTATCCAACTAGAATAGATAATATCAATATATGTTGTGTACGGTATTTATTTAAATAATTTTCTTATATAAAACATAAAATGGAAACCATTGTAGAATATGAAATAATCTGAAAAGTTCAGGGAAAAAAGATGTAAATTATCATTTGAAATGGGATACCATGATTCTTTCCAAGATACAATGCTTATAAGTTAAAACTAAGAAAAAAAGGAAAAAGCCATGGCAAGAGTCGAACTTAGGATAAAGGGTTTGGAAGACATGCGCGCCTTACCACTTGATCTATAACTATTTTAATTTAAGTCTTTTGCAGTTTATTTAATATGTGCATACTTGCAGAATTCTAACAAAATTTTCCTAAAAAAATTACTCCATTGAAAAAAATTTGAGAGGCATCCCGGGATCCCCTTGGATCCGCCCCTGGTGGTGGTCTTATAGCTCCGCTTGGATTGATCGCGATAATTTAACTTCATTACCAGCTGGTAAGACATTGTCTCTCACACCATCACATTAACTTTCTCCTCATATGTTACTTCAAATTTTGCCACCACGTAAGCAGATTCGATGAGATTTCATACAAGATATCGTATGAATATGAAACATGGATTATAATTAATCTCATAGTCCAAAATTCTGTTTCTCGATTTCCGATTTATGACGACTGAATTCAGACTACTAATTGAACATATCAATTAGTCCGGGCTTGCCAAACACTTCAGATGTCGGCAACAAATTATCAAGGGCCCAAATATATCGGTTTTTGTCACACTCCGACCGGTGGCGGAAACGCCAGGCTGTGCGACATAGAGATATTGGATCGACACACACACACACATATATATATATATTATATATATATATATATATATATATATATATATATATAACATAACACAAAAGTATATCACAAATGATACTTTTTATTTATTATAATTTATTTGGGATTACATTGTTTAATAAGTCAAACACACATCCTGAACATAACTAGAAATGACAAACAAATGGGAATAAACTCCAACAATCTTCATTGAAGATTTCCTCCTGGGCACGATTATCCTCCACACTCATCTCCCTGAGAATACATGTATTTTTGAAAACGTCAACATAATGTTGGTGAGCGCACAACTTTTTATAGTTTTCTGCTTTATTTGGTTGTGTTAAATTAATAATTTCTTTTTTTTTCTTTTAGAAAACCCTTTCTTAAGATATTTTATCAACTCTAGCTTACTATCTTGTTAGGATACTTGTAACATCCCAAATTTCAAGACCAAAAATTTCATTTTAAATTTAAAGATTCATAAAACAGATTACTGGAAATGCCATGAATGTTATCTCATATCATGAAAATCATAAGTCAACCATCTTAAAAACATATCATAGGAAAATAATGTCAGAGTACAAATCCCAAGAATCTCATGTGCGGAAAATCATGTGTGCGATGCGCTGCTATCGTGTCGGCTCCTTTCCCTTCGAAGAAGAAGGACCTGAAACAAAAACTGAAAACTGTAAGCACAAAGCTTAGTGAGTTCCCCCATCATACCACATACCATACAATAATCATACTGTCTAACATGTCCAGGTACTGGACTACCCCTTCGGTCTCTTTCAACCGGTAATTGCCTAGCATATCAGGGTGCTGGCTACCCCTTTCGGTCTCTTGCAACCGGTAACTTGCCTACCATATCAGGGTGTTGGCCTACCCCTTCGGTCCTTTCGACCGGTACCTCGCCTAGCATATCAGGGTGCTGGCCTACCCCTTCGGTCCTTTAGACCGGTACCAGGGACTATTTCACCCCTACTTCTACCATATAACATACTAGCTCATAAACACCTAAGTCATATACTACCTAGCTTATCAGGGTGCTGACATACCCCTTCGGTCCTTTCGACTAGTACTGGGGCCTATCCTACCCCTCCTACCACTATCACATAATATCATAGCATACTAGCACATAAAACATAACAGATAGTGACATACCAGATAATTATCACAAAGACAATCATCTCTACTATAACTCTTACTAGTGGGCCGACATTGGTGCCTTCAACCCACTTCTACTGGAAGGTAACTCACCTCAAATGTCGTGTAGTAGCTGAACTGTCCTCGGCTCTGGGATCAACTCCTCTCAAACTCCTACACATAAAATCTCCTTTAATCACCCTTTCATACTCATAACCCCTTTAAGGGCCAACTCTAGTTAATGGTCAAAGTCAAAGTCAACATCCTGGTCAAAGTCAACATTCTGGTTGACTCAACTCACCGAGTTGGTCCATCAACTCGTCGAGTTCCATGATCCATAAATCCCTGGAAATCTTGACCTAACTCGTCGAGTTCTTTCATGAACTCGTCGAGTTCCTCCTCATACAGAGTCAGGACATTTTGCTCACAACTCGCTGAGTTCCTCCTTGAACTCGTCGAGTTCTTCAATTTTTAAATCCCAAAAACCATGTCCAACTCGCT